AAAAAAAAAAAAAAAAAAAAAAAAGAATCATCCGGAATGCTTGTTTAAAAGACAGATACTGAGACCCAATCCTGACACAGGTATAGTGGGGACAACCTTTAGAGAAACACCGTAAGAAAGTGGTTATGTTACATAACCATGTTACAATCTCACAGATAAGCAAAACGTGCTAACCTGAGTATTTAGAATGTATGTTTTATTATTTACATTTTTGTTTCAAATGATCACCTTATAGTGCTATTCCATAAATCAATCTGGAAAAGTGAAATTTGGTTCCCTACAAAAGACGGGAAAATCAGGCACCATGGGAGAAAGTCAATGGTTTCCTAACAATTGGTCTGTGGGCCTTCATGTGACACTTGGGTAATTAATTACACATTTTCCTTTCTAAACTTTTAAGTTGACCACGGACATATATTGCCATCAAATAGTTTCTTTGGAATTTTATGTGGGGTGTACAAAGAACAACAGGAGTCCAACAATTATAAACTACTTCAATTTTTTATTAAGAAAGAATTGTTTTTATTAAAGAAATACATGAACATGATTAAGTAAAATCAAATGGTTCCAAAAGTCCTACAATGGAAACAGTCCTCTGCTGTCTTGCCCTGTTTTTCAAGTGAAAATATGCATTAATACATGTAATTTTTAAAGCCTCTTAAAACTTATAAAAAATCCTAGCAGTCCCCTGTCCCACCCCTCCCAATTCTCAGAACAGTGACTTTTAACTTTTATTTTAGCAGTTTCTTCTGCTGTTTTTTCCTCAAATTACTTTTGTCATTTCTTGATTTATTATTTTAAACATTTCCTAGTGACTTCCTGATATGATAAATTTAGCTCTTACACCATCACTATCCTCACTTGTCCTCCCACATCATCTTAAACTAGTTCTCAGATTTAGGGGTTAAGCAGTCATCACATCATCATGACTATATACACATAACCCATTGATGAGAAAAACAGCATATTATGCTTTCACTTCCTTTCCTGTACTTTTCCCACCCCTAGAATTAATGATTACTCAACTGCCCCCACCCCATTTTTTACATTTCCTTTATCTTCAGTGTATAAATGTCTTTCCAAATGCCCCAGATCTGCCAACACCTATTCATTTTTAAAATGTTTGCTTTCTAAGTCAGCTACATAGCTGGAATATTTCCTGTGATGATCCTATTTTGTAGATCCCATGTCATCCCCCTTTTTTTGGTTTACTACTATATTTTGCTGGAGCATTTCCTCCAGCAGCTTTCCAAGAAAGGGTACCTGGAGGTAACCCCTGAGTCTCTGCTTGTCTAAAAATGTCTTTACCCTTACCCTTGATTATTTGGCTGAGTAGATTTATCAGTTGAAAATAACTTCCTTAGAATTTTGAAGGTATGGTCCCACTGTTTTGTTTTCTATTTTGTTCCTTTCCCTTCCTTCCTTTCTTATAGTCATCTCAAACTCAGTGGGTCCAAACCCCCAAGCAAACTCCACTAGAAAATCTTGCTACATCCAACTTTAAAATATATCCTAGGGGCCGGCCCGGTGGCACACTGCTACAGTGCACCGCTTGGGAAGCGCGGCGGCGCTCCCGCCGAGGGTTTGGATCCCACATACAGACCGGTTCCCGCTCACTGGCTGAGCAAGGTGTGGGGGCAACACCGAGGGTTGCGATCCCGGTCCGGTCCGGGTGCGACACTGAGGGTTGCGATCCGTTGCCGGACACGAAAAAAGACAAAAAGGAAAAAAAAAATATATATATATATATCCTAAATCGCAGTTTCTCACTATGCTCAGCCCTGTGGTCCAAGCTACCGTCATCCCTCACCTAAACGTCTAATTGGTCTTCCTGACTCTTTATTTTTTTAATTATAAAATATGTCAAATAAAACCTGTAGCTTGCTACTTTTTACTACAAAAAAAGTATGAAGGCCTTACATCCATAATCAAATAAATATGGAATTGCTTTAAATGTTTATTAGCATTCACTGTTCCTGTGCATGCTAGCTGCTTCTTACTGCCACACATGAGACTTTCCATCTTGCAACTGGATGTGTTCAGGTCATGCATGGGGTGGTGAGTTGACAACCCTGGGAACAGCCCCCAATCAGTGAGTGGGGCGTAAATACTCCAGCTTTCTTCCCTCCGTTTCCCAGGCATCTCAGCAGTATTGATCTTGCTACCCAATGGGAATCTGTTCACTGACCTTGACCTAGCTTTACCTTCCCAGCTTCATTTTTCCACACTCCAATTGGTGCTTTCTTGTATGACCTATCAAGTAAACTGCTTTCACTGAAATTTTAGTCTTGGGATCTGCTTTGAAGAAAACCCAATATAAGACAATATATTCATTTTCCTGTCACTGGACTTCCAGATTGTTTTCAGTTTTTTGCTACTACTAAGGTTGTAACAGTCATCTACAAATTTCTAGACATACACATAGGAGGTTTTCTAAAATTTATCCACCAGTGCAAATGCTGAGTTGAAGGGTGTATGTATCTTCATCTTTAATAAATGTTGTCAACATTTAAAAAGCACAGCAATGTCCAGTACTGGTAAGAATCCTCCATGTGATGGGTGTGGAATGGTAGCTCACTGTAGTTTTCATTTGCATTTCCCTAATTACTAGTGGAGATGTATATCTTTGCATGTTTTTATTGGCCATTTGAGTTTCCTCTTTTCTAAATGGTTTGCTTCTTTTTTTCATCAATATCTGGGTTCTATACATTTTAAAGACTAATAGTTTTCAGGTTATGTATATTGCAGAGAGCACCATTGTTTTCTCACGGTTTGCAAGTCTTATGTGGTATTGATTCCTATTCTTCCGTGTGATCTGCCTTTCCAAGCCCCCATGGAAGATTTTAGAAATTCCTTTTCTACTCCTGATGTTCTGTATCTTTATTTTACTGCTGAACATAAAGAGTTCAATTTATTATCTGAAATAATTTTTCATGAAAATAAGCACGTTTCAAAAAAACCTAATCACAGCAGTTATACCTAATCTAGAAAATAACTCACTGACTCTGATACTGTCAACAAGTTGCAGCATGCTTTTTCCCTAAACATATTAATATTAAAAATTGGGGGTATTATATACAATTTGTTTCTTTCACTTAGCAATCTTAGGCATTTTTCTGTTACTACCTAATTCTTTTTAACTGCTGAATATTTTAAATTTGAATTGATATTGCTAACACACTCTAAAAAGGTTGTACCAACTCACAAGGCAGAAAATGCTATTTCTTTCTAAGTCTTTGCTAATCTGATAGGTAAAAGGTGTTTTAATTTTTACTTTTTTATTTTGTGAAGTTTAGTTTATAATTTACTCATTTTGGTTTCTTTTTTTTTTTTTGTCTTTTGTCTTTTTTCCGTGTCCGGCAACGGATCGCAACCCTCAGTGTTGCCCCCGTACCGGACCGGGGACCAGCAACGGGATTGCAAGCCTCGGTGTTGCTCCCGCGCCTCGCTCAGCCAGCGAGCGGGAACCGGTCTGTATGTGGGATCCGAACCCTCGGGCGGGAGCGCCGCCGCGCTTCCCAAGCGGCGCACTATCCAGTGCGCCACCGGGCCGGCCCCTCATTTTGGTTTCTAGCAATATGTATTCACAACATATTATCTCTTTGAATTTTTAATTTTAGCTATTATGCTTATTCTTAGATTGCTTTTTTGTAAAGAGTAGCCTATTCTTGTTTTATTACTCCAGTATGCCCTGGAAACTCACTGAAGATCAGAAACAGAAATTTTAAAGGTCTCAGACCTTTTTTCTTTTTTAACCATCAAAAAAGGTCTCCCGCCTGCTTCTTTACTGTCCCTATGGAATATACTGGAGTTCTCAATTTACCGACTTCCTGAGTGAACAGAACTTTGTTCAGAAGTGTGATGTGTATAGAATAATTCACAGTTTATATTTTGATCTAATTTTCTTTTAAAAATCTGAGTTCTAGCTTTTCCATTTATATTCCATTCTGCCCTTTGGACTCCTGTCTAACTCCTACCTTTATGGGCCCTGGTGTCAACTTATGCTATCAGGAGACTCTCCCACTTTGGGCTATCTTGTAGATATGCTACCCTAGGCAGGTGCTGCGGACTTAGTCGCAGCCTTGGGAGAGAGAAGCTGTACCAATTACAGCAAGAAATGTTTCATAAATGGTATCTGATATAGTCTAGTTAAGACTAATGGGGAATAAAACCAACGACTTGGAAATAATTATCCACAGATCTAAAGACAACAAAAGTCTTTTTTTTCTAATTTAAAAAATAATTTTTTTATTGGGGGGGGACAACTTAAAATAAATCAGAAAACACCTTCATATTATTCATTCTTTTCATATACTTCAAATTTGTACTTAATGCCTTTCTCCTCCTGGACACCAGAAAAAACACCTGGGTATCTGTAAAAGAAACAAATATAAAATTGAATTATGTATCCATTAAAAATAAAGCTTCTCTCTCAGCCAGAAGGTATCAACAGTGCATAAAGTAAATATAAGTTTTTCCTTCCTTTTTCCTTCATAACGGTAAGTGAAGCTGAGTGAATATTATGCAAACACACTACATATTACAAGAAACTACAAACTATATAGTTAGGAAATGTAAAGTATACTCTTTCCTCCTCCTTTCCTTCTGATTCCTAATTCTTCTCTCAAACACTGTTAGCAGCTTCTCTTGCACCTTTCTACTCTGTCATCCAGCTAATATGAAATATCTTAAGAATGTTTTGCAAGTTGTACACTTGGTATCACATTTCATGTGTAAGGAAAACAAAAAATAAGATACAACCTTTGGCTGTTCAGAGCAGAACTGAAGTTATGTGCCCTGCATGGCAACAGATCTCGATTTCAGTTTAGTTGATGGATGCCACACTGCTCTAATTCCCCAAGGTGTGGTATATTGCAATTCCTTTACTAAGGTCACTTGTTTGCCCGATCTTTCCTATTCTGTGAACTCTCACTTAGGTCTGTGCTCCCTCCAGCTTTCCATTAAAAACACAGGTTCTGCACTGAGGACTGTTCTGACCACTCCAGCCTCCAATGACTGCGCCAATGAGCATTCTCATGTTGCTCCATCATGCAGGCTGCACCCCAGTGTGCTCCAGATGGTGGTCAGGAACACCTGCTTTAATGTGACTGTGCTTGACTGGTTCTGCTGTGTTACACTGTCTTGGAGCCTGGGTATCAATAAAAAGTCTTAATCTTTGTAAAGAATTTAGCACTGTGCCTCATGTGTTAAGTGGTCCACAAAATGTCGCCCATTAATATTATTGGTTTGTTTTGACCCCCCAACTATTTCCTAAACTCATTGTAGGCAGGGATAAATACAGGAAAACTTTTTAATTTCTTGTGATATCCAATATATTGCTGAGCAATAATAGGCACTAACCTTTTGTTGACTAATTAGAGATTATGCCATTTTAATAAAAACCATAATTAGAGACATGAAGTAACACTAATATAATAACGTATAGGGAAAAGAAAAAGGTGTTTGATCTGGAATAATCTGTATTTCAGAGGAAGAAGCTATGTTTCTATTTACCAACCATTTACTTCTGTTCCACTGATTTAGTAGAAGGATGGCCTTTTTTTTTTTTTAAGAAATTATTTTACTGGGCCAATTTTAAACCATAATCTTAATTTCTTTGGAATGAGTCATAAAAAGTAACATTTACATATTTTTTGTGCAAAATACTCAAGAGTGTCAAGATTGCCAGTTAATAAGACAAAAGCAAGGTATCCAGAAGTTATTTCCAAACCCATGAATAATAACAACTTAGAAATGACTGTGTTATGGTCTGGATATGATCAGCAGCCATGGTGTTAATGTTAATCTTCTCTGTGAAACTAAAACTTAGTTCTGCCTAAGTTTCATTTTTCTTTCCATAATATTCACATATTCAGTTTGTTTTAGTAATGATTATAATTAACTCATAATCACAATTCCAAACTTTTCTAAAGAGCAAACTCTGCCTAAAAGCCACACTTAGACTCTGAGTTCAAGTCTAACCAGAGTCTAAGTGATACAGACTCCCCTCTAGAATCTTCAAGCATTAAGGAAGCAAATGAATATGAGTGAACTTAAGAAACCTAAGAAACCATTGCCTAATCCACGCTCACAAAGATTTGCTTCTCTGTTTTTTTCCTAATAATTTTATACTTTTAACTCTTCCATAGAAGTCTGTGATCCATTTGAGTTCATTTGTTTTTGATGTAAGGAAGGGGTTCAACTCCGTTCTTTTGTAAGTGTACATCTAGTTGTACACTTACAGAGATGATTCGATGGAGGGTCTAAGAAAGAGGTGACCAGAGTTCTTAAAACAGTTGTCCATAAAAAACAAATCACAACTAAAATAAAATCAAGACTATACAGGAAGCACAGGCTCAGGAGGAAAAAGGGATGTACAAGTAATGTGTGCAAATACACAAGCATCCTGGACAGGCAGGAAACCTCAGCCCACCTGAAACCTACCTCAAGTCAAACATTGATAAGGGGCATCTGTTGCAGCTCTGTAGCCAACTACTGCCTCCAAAGACTTCTTTTGATTGTTATCCTCTGTAACTGGTCACATGGAAAGTTAACTAGAAGATTGGCTTTTTATTTTTGTTTTTTGGTACGGGGACCCGAACCCTTTACTTTGGTGTAACAAGGCTATGTGCTAATCGGCCAGCCGTTAGGAAGTTTTTAACTAGAAGGAAAAGCTTATTAGATGGTAGGGAACAATTCTTTTTTGGGCTCATTAAATAGAAAACTGCTGATATAAAATACTTGGGCCTGCTGGTTTGGCTGGGGCCTAGTGTGAAATAGTCTGAAACAGAAAGATTTCTTCCAGGCAAGATGAATGAGAGCAGAGCCTTATAGAACAGGCTGTCATGGTGCTTTCGAAAGAATAATTGCACAAACAATGACCTGGGAAAAAGGCAGACACAAAGTAAAACCACCTGACTTTGTTAATATTAACTGCTGCTCTTAGGCTTCCACTGCTTGTGGCCTTATCTACATTCTAATTTTATTCTTTTTGCCTTACAATAGTTCTTTTCATTTTTATTTCATTATACTAGTGCTTTTAAGCAGCAAGTATGGTGTCAGTAAAAGATGCTGTGTTTGAACTGAAACCTATATAACCACAAGAGGACAAGTGATAGAGATAATGGGGCTCTAAACTACATGTGTAGAAGTGGGGGAAGAGGAAGAGAGAGGGGAGAATGACCAAATTCATTTCTGGACAGTAGGGAGCATTCTAAGATCTCCAATGTACAGAGATTTGGAGAGAAAGCAGCTCCAGAATGGAGCAATGTTATAGATGTCCAGAGACAAGGTATATTCACTTTGTCTTCAGAGGTTTCCTTTTTCTCTATTTAATGACTGACTTACTCCAGGTCTCCCATGGGGGAATTCCCTCTATTCCATGTTAGAGCAGGTGTTATGATGTTAGTACAGACCTGAAAGTACAGATGACCATCAAATGCTGCAATGGAAAAAAGACTTTTTCATTTTTAGAATGTTCATTTTGGAGTAACTTTCTTGTTCTTATGTCAGTCTACTCACCATTAACATGTTCTAAGACATTTACTTTTTCTTTTTTTCTATTCATCTTTTTTCTTTATTTAAAAAAAATCTTTTAAAAAATTTTTCTTCATTTTTTTTTCTTTTAATGTTTTTCCTCTTACAAACCCTTGTGTCTCAATAGATTGAACAAGGGAGCTGCTCTGCTACATATGAAACTCTGACCCCGAAGTAGGTCGTCTATGAATGTTTTAGCACCAGGTTCCACATGAACGTGCGTTGTGTGTTGGGTGAGGGGTGACCACATTTTCAGCTGCTCCCCATTTTCCAGGATGAGGGGTTGTCCATATTGGACCTGGTCCTTACTTAGAGGTGTTCAGTGATAACCTGACTGAACCTGGGTTCCTCTCATACTGAGCAGGATTACCATGACACCACATCAACAGTAGGGCAAAACTAACCTGCCCCATAAGGGTCTAAACCCAGCTAACGTTTCCTATAAGTGAGTGAAATGTTCTAAGACATTTAAAGAAAAAGTACTACCAATCCTTCACAAATGCTTCCAAAAAATAGAAGAGGAGACAGAACTTCCTAATTCATACTGTGAGGTCAGTATTATCCTGATTATCAAAACCAGGTGAAGACATTAAAAAAAAAGAGAGAGGACTAAAGACCAATATCCCTTATGAATATAAATGCAAAACTCCTCAACAAAATAGTAGTAAACTGAATCCAGCAACATATTAAAAAAATTGTACACCATTAACAAGTGGAACTTGTCCCTGAAGTACAAGACTAGTATAACATGAAAATCAAACAATGTAATATACCATATTAATAGTATATTAAAATATTAATTAGTGTAAAAGACAAAAACCACATGATCATTGCATCATAGTTAAGGGTGACAGACTGAATGTTACAAGACAAGTAGGTCTGCTCTTGCTACCTTCTAGTTAACATTGTATTGGAGGTTCTAGCTAAGGCAATTAGGCAAGAAAAAGAAATAAAAAACATCCAGATTAGGGCTGGCCCGTGGCTCACTTGGTAGAGTACGGTGCTGATAACACCAAGGCCCCAGGTTCGGATCCTATATAGGGATGGCCGGTTTTCTCACTGGATGAGCGTGGTGCTGACAACACCAGGCCAAGGGTTGAGATCCCCTTACCGGTCATCTTTAAAAAAAAAAAAAAAAAAATCCAGATTAAAAAGGAAGAAGGAAAACTCTATCTGCAGATAACAACCTACCATATATAGAAAATCCTAGAGAATCTACTAACAATCGGAACTACTAATGAATTAAGTAAGCTTGCAGGATACTGCAAGACATTTGCAAGATTGATAAGCAAAAATCATGTGTCTTTATACACTAGCAATGAACAGACTGAAAGTAAAATTAAGAAAACAATACCATTTACAACAGCATCAAAAGAAAATACTCAACACACTGAAAGCTACAAAACATTCCTGAAAGAAATTAAAGAGTATCTAAGTAAGTGGAAAGACATCACATGCTCATGGTCTGGAAAACTTAATATTAAGATGGCAATGTTCACAGATATAAAACAATTCCTATCAAAGTCCCAGCTTGCTTTTTGGCAGAAATTGACAAGCTAATCACAAAATTCATATGGAAATGCAAGAGACCCAGAAAAACCAAGACCATCTTGAAAAGGAAGAACAAAGTTGGAAGATCTGTACTTCCTGATTTCAAATGTTAGTAATCAGGATGGTGTGGAATACACATATAGATCAACTGAACAGAACTGAGATTCCAGAAATAAACCCTCACACTTATGGTCAACTGATTTTCAACAAAGGAGCCAAAATAATTCAGTGGGGGGAAAGAATATCTTGTCCACAAATAGTGTTGGGACAACTAGATGTACACTTA